CCAGTCCTTACAGCAAGAAAGTTTTTGGGAGGTGCCATGGTTTTGTATAGGAGAATGCACTTTGGGATATAGGAGACATCATTAACAATCACCCCTTTGTGCTGTGTTTGAAACACTGATGCTGTTTTTTTTTTTTTTCCTCCTGACTCAGCAGTGTCAGGAGAGATTGAGTCAGCAGCTCCTGAACATGTCTATGTACACAGCAGGGGAGGCTGAGAAGAAGCAAACAGAGCTTCCCAGTGTCACACACAGACCAGCATAGCTAAGCATGCAGGTAAACACGTGGCCCTGGGCAGCAGCTAGCCAAAAGGGAAGAAATAGCTCAAAGGGATCTATCTCCCAGGTGTTTTCTCTCACATCATTGTTGACTAGCCATCAGGTAGGAGACAATTTGTTTCTGCGAATGGCTCACTTGTAATAGCTTCATAGGAAACGTACCCTGGGGTTCACAGTTTTCTGGCTGTTGTGCACATGTAGCATGATAGGATTCTATGGTAAGGTTGGCTGAGGCCAGTGTAGTAAAAAGAACGATTTTTAAAAAATCTATTGGCATAAACAATAGGCTTTTATAAAATAATAAGCAATAAACAAAAAACTAATAAACAATTAAAAAAAATGCAGAAGCATTTAAATGGGGAATATAGCTCCAACCTCCAGTACAAAGACAAAAATATATATATTCTTGGACAGAATAACACTGTTAGATGCTTTCCTTTTCCCACTTTTTCCTTTTCCTCCCCTTTTACTGATCTGCTGGCTGTTCTTACAACTTTCACAACCAAGGCTACAGAATGGACTTGATCTAATAGTCAAGAGAACACTTAGTACTTCATCTCTCCCATTTCCTTCTCATCTCACAACGTACTATGGTATCTCCATATACATGAATTGGAACAGAGGCATTTATCCAAGGCTTCCTGGGATTATAAACTGGAAACAAAGAGAGATGTACAGCAGCGTGACAGAGGAGAGGAACAAGAAGGAAATGCATAGGTGTTAAAATCCGTGCTGCACACAGAACTAAAAGGCTGCCCTCCTATTGGTACCATATTCTTAGTACATAAAGGAACCAAAGGCATCTCCGAGGTTCCTCCTGTTGCCTTCTCCTACCTGCTTGCATTTCATCAAATGTGGTTGCAATTTTTTCCTTCTTATGCTGTGCCAAAAGACCATCTTATCTTCATTAAAATGCTCTGCACCACTTTGAAAAAAGATAATCTGCATCACATGGTTAATGCTCTATGTCCACTTTGGAGTCTGAGCTCATTGAAGCTGGACTCGCATCTCCCTCTGCCTTAAGTACAGTGTTAACAACTTTCTGGATCTGCGACAACCATGAATCCTCCTGCGTTTCCTTTTAGCTATAGAACTGTATCAATGTGTTTCAAGTTGGAACAATTACTAGTTATGTCTGCTACTAACTTGAAAAACAGCAGCAAGTTTACTTTCTCCAGTGAAGTGGATCTATTAGGCTGCAACAGCTAGAAAGCCCTCACAGGTTTACAAGACAACTTGGCTAGCAAAAAGTACGCTCAAGTAAAACAATTAGAGTGCTGCACTGGCTAATTTGTCTAACCATAGTTTTCAGATCCATTGCTGAATGCTTTGTCACTGAAAATAATGAATTTGCTTTTTTTAAAGAGATGAACATAGCTATCATACACACTAATTCAGAGTCCGGTATCTTCAGCCCATTCGGCTTACCTTTCTATACTTTCGACAAATGCATGTCTCATATCATTTTTTCTCTCCTTCCTCCATTTGCCTTACTGCTTTTCCTCCACGTATCTTATCTCCAAATGATGTGCTATTAATCAGCCAGAGACACCCTTCACTGCAAAGTGTTCCTCAACTGATTTTTCATCAGCACAAGTAGTTACTAGTTGCAGCATTCCTCCCACATGCTAAAAATTTGGTGGGGGAGGGAGGAGGGGTAGCCAGGAGGCTGCCTCGCTGTGTAAATGCTATCTCAGACCTTTATGGCTATCCACCAGTTTGCTGCAACAGTAATGTTGCTGCTTGCTCTCCATAAGGTACATGGCGAGAGGAAAGTGAGGCTGAACCCTGCCTCATTTTTTAAGTTATTACTCTTCATGCTCTTCCCTTTCTCTGATTAATCTGGCTGGATGCCTGCTCAGTAGTAGCTGAAGTTTAATACCTGAAACAATGTGTGTATATGCACTGTGCCAGTAAGGCTTGCCCAGCAGCACTCATTCTGTCATGTTTTCCCATGCCTTGTGTCAATATCTCATTTATAGGCAATCCCTCAGAGGCAGAGTAGAAGACAGGAAAAAGAGAGGTATGGAGAGAAACAGAGGGAGGAGAAAGGAAGGGGAAATGACATCCCTCAGGAACTTCAGCTGCTGCAAACTCACCCAACTCCTCCCCCATGAAACAAGTTGTGTGGGGGCACAGGTGGGTTCCATTCTTTGTTACTGGAGCACAGTCTATGAGCAAGGTCTCAATGAAGACTTTCATTGCTGTTCCCTGTTTTCATTGGAGTAAGGCCATCACAAACATTTGCAGGTGGCTTGGCCGTAGTCTGACACTAAAATATTTGTGGTTGTGATAAAAATCAGAATATTGCTACAAGATGGTTCTATATAACCTTTAGGGCTTGATCCTGCTCTTACAGAACTCAGTGCTCCAGTTGCTCTCTGCTGTTTTTACTGCTCATTAAAAAGGCCATTCCCTGGCACAATTCTCCATGGTAAAGACTCATCTACCCTTTGGGGCAACTTCAGATGTCTTAAAAAGGAGGGAGAGCCCAACCCAAAACCACTTACTTGAGCACCTCAGAATTTAGGCTTGTTAAAAAACAACAAAAAAAGAAAAGACGATCAAACTAAAACCATCGAACTTTGCAGAACTCATAAACATTTTCTGAATCCATCTGGATTTATCTTCAATTGCCTAATACTGGAACCACTGTCAAGCCCTTATTCCCCGCAATGATTCTTGGATATAATTCTTAGCATATTTAGAAGGATAAGATGAAGATAAATGGAAATGACAAGATACGTTCTTTCAGCAAATATAGCAGACACCACAGGGAAAAGACTGAAGGAAAAGAGGGCAAACAGGGATGCTCAACAATTTGGCAAGTAGATGAAGTCCAAAATGCAGCAATTATCTCCTAGGACACACCACTAAAAAAAAAAAAAAAAAAGCCTCCTAGGAAGAGGCAAGAATGGGGAAGGGAGTGTGCTGGAGGTCATACCATAACTCTCATTCACACACCAGCTCACACAGAGACTAAACACTGACAACTGCCTCCTAACAGAGCAGCTTTAGACTCAGAGTTTGGAAACATTTGTGGGAATCAGTCACATGGAGAATTAAGATATGTCATGACAAAAGTTTCCCAAACAAGACACTCACCAGTGACTAGGAAACAGACCTTTTTATCCTCAATCCTTCCAACTTTGGAGATTCTAATCACCATGGCCCTGAAACAATGCAATCCGAAAACCTGACTGGCAGGGTCTTGCAAAACCACATGCAGTTTTTTTCCTCATTATATAGAAACAACTGTTTGGAAGCCAAACAAAATCTCATATAAAACACCTCATTACTGAGTATTAAAAATTGGTTGGGTTTTATTCTTGTTTTTGTTTTTAATTAGGATCATTATTACCACTAGACCTATTAATTCACAATTAGAACAACAGCTTTATCAACCTTAACCAGATAATGGAATTAGCTGTTTTTCTTTCTAACACTGGAAAATAAACTTTCCTTACTTCTCCCTTCTGTCAGCCCATCTTCAAACAGAGCGGGACACGCGTAAGATAAAAACTTATGGTTTCACAAGTGAAACTATTGCAGTGAACATGGTGTTTTGTTGATGCATAACACTTATGAAGGCACAACTATCAGATATTTTTACTACACCGATATTAGCTGATTTCTGTATTAATAACTAAATCCTGAAACAATAGGAAAAGGGGAAGTAAAGGAGCCTTGCCAAGAGTACTGGCAAGCTGGAACTGTGGATGGGAATGTTGTTGTGTGTAACACTTCTGGAGCAGTCAGCACCACAGCCCATCCCTGCCACCGGGACACTGAGAAATGAAAAGCCTGAAATCAATCTTCTGCACCAGACACAGAGAATCTTGAAAGAAAACTAAAGAATAACTGGACTTTGAGATTTCAATGCCAGGATTTCATTTGTCAGCCTTACTCCAAAGAAACAGCAAGTTGCTCATCAATTATTTAGACAATGACTGGGGATGGAGACTGCTTTTGCACTTATCATATAATGGATGTGACCAAGTTACAAATGACAGTTAATGAATCTAGACCACTGCTTCATTCTCAGTCCACTGATTTATCTTCGTATCCACATGTTTTCATGCATAAAAAAGTCTAAATTCGTAGAACTGTGTGACAAAAAAAACCAAAACACCCTCAAACTGGGCAGTTTCTGTATAATTAAAAATGAGTTATCATGATTTATGAAGACTTCATGTCAGCTGGAAATAGACATTGAAGCCAGTACTGTGAGCATCCATACTGTCAATCTGAGGGAATAAATTCAGATCCATAGTTGCAAACTGCTCAGAGGTCTTGTGCCAAACTCTGTTTATCCTAGTGAACTTGTTTTTTTTCCTGGTAGCCCTCTTCATACACACCAAGTACCTATACCCAGAACTCCTGCTGAAAAAAGTGGAATGATCAGCTTCTGAAATTCTGCATCTGCCTGTTTAGAACAGTTATAGGAACAGGAACTTTGACTGTAAGCAGATTTTTTTTTTTTTTTTTCATAGGAGAAAGTAGGACTTTCCTACAAGTACTGCGCTCTGTCCCTGCTGAATCAAAGTGACGGGTCTGTAGTAGATGTCATGTCATGGCTGTTTTCCCACAGGAATGTATACTGAAGTGATTCTTGCTGTATGCTGGCGGGATCAAGTGCAAAACCAATAAGACAACATCTTGTACTGCATGCAAATGCTGGATTCAGAAAAATGGAGAAATGAAAAGAAAGGTAGCAGACTTACCCAATCTGTCGATTTGTGGAAGGTGCTTGTGTGATGACAGAACTGGACTGCGGAGATGGCATGGCTTGTTGAATCACAACATTGGTGTCGTGGTTCGGCATCCTTGTATTTGTCAGCTGGTGAGATCCAGGTCCTGCCATTGCTCCTCCAACTGCGTTATGCATGGAGATATTCTGCGAAAGGAAGGAAAAAGGGAGATTGCAGACAAAAATGTATATTGTCTGTGAGTCCTACCAGGCAACAACTAGAAATCTGAAAGCATCAACAATATGTGAAGTTATTGACTCCTAGCAAATCCCACATCAATACATCTTTTTGTAATAAACAACTATAAAGAAATGAAAAATAACTATTTACTTTTGCTGGGCAATATGAATGGAAAAATACCTGCAAGTTGACTAATCACTCTTCTGTGATTTTGACTTATGTTTTATAATGGGGATATTTAACACACATTCTTTTGACTCAATGTGATATATGTTTTGTTTGAAAATGACTTCTGTGGTGAGTGCATGGCACTTTGATTTACTGTGTGGGTTGTTTACTGTGTACTAGGTCTGCTTAGACTGACAAGCAGATCAAGCTTTATAGTCCTGAAGTAACAAGCAGTGTGCGGTATATCATGAAACAGCCATTTCTAATAGCCTACATATATTTTGCAGAGCAATAATATTCCAAAGGTCTAGAATAATAGCACCGTATTTTCACATGTCTAACCTTTGCTTCAGGTAGCTTTGAGCTCCTCAAAAGTTCTTAGGAAAAAAAAATCACAGATAATTCATATCTTCAAAGTGAACAAGCCACAAGAGAACAGGATGATACTAAGGAACGAACACTGGAATGAAACTTGTCTTTTATTATCCCTACATACACAATACACACTGTTGCTAAACCGCAGGGTTTGATTTGGCCTGCATTTAAAAACAAACAAAAATCTCAAGCCAGAGATAACCCACAGTGTACGCATATGAAAAATACAGCAATATTAATGGCTTTTTTTTTTTCCTATCAGGTATCAACATGTGGACTTCTAGCAGCAAGAAGAAAAGAAACTTTCCATTGCCACCAAATGCAAGGCTGAGGATAAGGAAAAAAAAACCCAACACATCTCTACACTCACACTCTGCCACCAAGGCTCACTTCTTGACCACTGTAATAATCATGATTGAAAACAAATGTTAAATTTCATTCAGAAAAACAGTGTATTTTGGAAACACACAAAACACAAGATAGAGATAGAAAAAGCTGGTGAAAAATGAAACTCAAATCTCTGCTCAAATGTGGGGGACAAGCAAGATAAACAATATATTGAATTCCATAGCTAAATAAAAGATTGGATTTTGAACCGAAACAAGAGTAAGCCCTTTAAATGACATTCTTCATGGAAAAGGAGACAATAAATAAAGGGTCTACGCATGGAAGTCCACAGCTGTCATCCTCCTATCTCCCAATTCATTTTTAGATAAATAGATAGGTTGATTTATTGATGGATTGGCTGTTTGATTTTAAATAAAAAAGCAGAGGGACTGCCTACAGCCATATAGCCAGATTACTCACCCATCTGAGCTCTTGTTCTAGTAAATAATTTACACAATATGAATCAGGTCCAGCAGGAGAATAGCCAGTATTCACTTTGGAGCATGGATTGCAAGAGGAATTCAGACCAAGGACTTTAACTACGATTTTTCATAGCCCAGTAATATATTATGACCATCAGGTAGTAATAAACTTCAATATATTGAATCTTTTCCAAAATAAGTTTTCCCCTTGACCTAGCACATTCCTATAAAAATGTCTCCAATGGATTTGTGTTTTCTGATGGGGGAAACAAAAACAAAAGCAAACAAACAAATAAACATGCCCAAACAAAATAAATCACAGCCACATCTACTTCAGGATTCAAAAGTGACAGAATTTAAAGATTTAATTTCACATTCCCCAGTTCCTAGATTCAGTGCTCCCATTTTCTTTTCCTTATTTTTACCTGTTTCGCCTATGATTTCAGAGCTCTTAAAAGTGTAAGTGGTTTGAGCTACAAAGGTATGAAAACTTTTGATAGCACATAAGACATTATAATTGCTGGCTTACAAGCATACACTTGTAACACTTGCTACCTCAAAATTTTAGCCAATTCCAATACACTATTTCTTCAGCAAGTAGGCTGAACTTTGGAAGAAAAAGCAAAGCAAAAGCTCATTGGTGTGTTCACATGTCCATTCTTCTTCGTAGTGCAAGTGCTGTTGTTGGTAGGAACTATACTTAGTATATACAGAGTTGCCAAAAGAAAGCCAAAGATTTCCTAACAAAATGTCAAACTCCGCATGACTCTTGCATTCACAGGAGAGGGATTTGGCAAACTCAGAACAATTTACATTGGTGAGATGCTTGTAAATTCGCAGAGGAGTTCAAGCAAGTTCATACCTAAATGACAAGGCCTACACTCTGAAAGATGGCAGGAAGATAACACACAGCAGCTCTGACCCTAAGCCTGTCTGATTTGGTCACATGGATAGCAACATACAGAATGACGCTATGTCACCAGCACATCAAACCATTGCACACGTGATGCAGATGACTTTCAAAATTCTTGAAACAGTCTTCTGCATCACATGAGTTCTGAGAGGATATAGACGTCGTAGTGCAGGCATGACTTTTGGCTCTTATAAAAGAAGATAAAATTCAGCAGCGTTGACTGAAACAGAGACCATCATAGTTAAAAAGTTGCTGCTTCTACTTTTAAGGCTGCTTCTACTTTTAAGGAGTTCTACATACTCTTCCACCAGATATCCATGGATAACTCGTCACCTTAACTGTCCTTTTCATTCTCTTCCAGCTCTTGAGCTGATGGTTAAGATGAGTTCCTACAAGGTGGGGAGCTCCCATCACACCAGTGAGGAGGAGCTGTCAACAGGAGTCGTGACACAGAGCTTTCCTCCTGCTTTTAACACTACTGAGGCCTGTGCATACTCAGAGAGAATACGACGTTTGGAGTTTTCTCAAAGGCCTTCACAACTGTTCTAGAAGAGGTCATATGGGCTTACTACTATTTTTCATTTTATTACAAGTGGCCTGAAGTGTTCATATAGGGAACAGGCCACTCACAACAGGAGCTGGGAATTTATTTCCTCTTGGACTAAGTTTCACACCGTACCAAAGTTCCCAGCCACTCCCTCTGGAGCAGAAACTAGAATTAGGACACTAAAGAACTCTTATAGAAATGCTGCCTTTGCCAGTGTGCCTATGCTATATTCTGTAGCAGTATTTAACATTCAAGTTAAAATAAATAATGTGAAGAAAAAAAAAAAAACATCCACAAACTGTTTAGCTGTATTCATTCTCAACCTTTCCAACTGCAAGAGGAAAAGGAATAGATCATCATCAGCTTAACTTCTCACCACTTTGAGAGTATTTCTCCTTTTAGCTTCAATCAAGAGAACATTTAAGCATTTTTCTCCCACATGCAACCATTTAACTTTGGATAGGCAATGCTCTATTTTTCTTTTTCTTTTCTTTTTTTTTTTTTTTTTTAAGGATAAAAACTTCTTGAAGTCATGCTTCCATGTGCTCATGGAGAGAATTACACATCACTCCACAAGAACACACGCCCTGTTGGCAAGCGCAGCACAGAAATGATGGCTCTGTAGACATAGGCAAAAATACACCCCATGGCTCTGGGCAGTGACCATTTCTGCTGAACCCCATCTTTTCCAGAGAAACATCCATCCATTTTACAACATCACCCATAATCACACATCCCCATCTCCTGAAGGCACAGGATTAACAAAATGGAAACAAAACCTGTTACTATCCACTGGAATATTCTGAGTTTCAGACTGTTTGTTGTGTTTTTATCAGAGCTAGTTTCTGAAGTTACCTTATATTCTCTAATGATTCTTTCTTAATGAAGTTTAATGGAAGTTATAAATACCACTTTGATACAAACTGAGAAGTCATTTAGGTTTGTTCTAAAAGTTCTCTGATAAATAGATCCATGACCTAAAACCAATAATACATAAAGCCCATTCTCTAGAATATTATACAAATTCTTAAGTCAGAAGGTATTTGCTGCAGAAAAAAAAGAGAAATAATCCAATTGATCTAAATAAAGACAAAAGCATTTTTCCCCTTTTTCTGGAAAAAATCATTTACCTCTGCTTTCCCAAGCAGCAACTTTAAATATTGTTAAATAATTCAAGAGAAATAGAACCAAATTTATGACCTAGTAATAAAGAAAATAGGCTGAATATGGGAAATAATAGCCTGTTTCAAAATTATTTTAATCACATAGAGACTCTTGTCAAAATTAATGATCCTTCATGAATTCTATCCTGACAAAAGAGAAAGATAATCCCAAAGCAAACGTTACCAAATCTTCTCAGAAACAGCACCAAACAATTTTCTCATTATTCAAATCAATATGAATGGAAAACATCCTCACACCAGTTCATCACAACTATTTCACTATTTCATTTGCTACTAATACGCAGTATCCCAACCATCCTAAGTATAAAACTAAGCACACTGCCCACATAACACCAATAAACACAGCAGAGGATCTGGGAGGAAAAAAATTAAAAAAAATGAAAAACCAAGGTAGAACAAAATTCAGGTTACTAATGCAGTTAAAGTATTATAGAGAGGGGGAAAAAATGTATTTTGAAGATGTACATTTAAAAAAAAAGAAGGATCATTGTGCAAGAGAGGAAGTTTGCTGGAGAATGAAATGCAATACTTATTCTTTTTTTAAACTGTAACATCTGTATGGCTTGAATGAGAAAAAGCACTAAGGCAGGGAAAGGACACAGAAAAGAACTATTGGAAAACGCTGTGTAATAACACTAAGCACAGGGACAAAGCACTTGGAAGATCTTATCACAGAGTACTAAAATCCATTTAACTTTCCCACTTAGCGAGAGGCACGAAGTCACTGAATGAGGGTGACACACGCCAAAGGATCTACTTCTCAAAACACTCCAAAGGCAGGCAAATACGCAGCAGCTACCTGATAGAAATGGCACATTTAAAACAAACAAACAAACAAAAATAAAGCAGGCATGACATACGCAGAACTCTTCCCCGCCCCCAGGTCTCTTTTGGCTGCTGCTTCCCCCCACACTGAGTACAGCTCGCTGTCCCCTCGGTGCAGGGATGCGGAGGGCAGGAGCACTGAGAG